ACAGAAAACTCCTTGACACAAAGAAAATAATCCATTGATGGAAAACCTGGTCATTCAGTATATTCAGGTAGGCAGCTGACCTCATTTTGTGAGCAAAGAACATTGCTAAACCTAGACCTATTATTCAGCAGAAGGTTCTGACCTATTTGTTTAGCTAAATCCAGGTGGTTACTTTTTTTTTTAGACAGGCAGTGTAGTTGCTAGTCCGCAGCAGACACAGGGTTATTCACTAAAGGGTGAAGATGTCTGTGAAGGTTCTCATTCATACAGGTCATGGTATAGCTGTAAAAAATAAGTCAAGGCAACTGGACTTGCTGTATTTTTCTTGAAGACGTTTCACTGGACATCCGACCAGCTTTCTCAATTAAGAATGACTGAATGACAATGCTGTTCTAACACCTCTCTCTGGGCAGGTTAATAACACCTTCTAGACTCCAATTATGCAAATGCAATCAACACCTGGTTGTGACAGTTTATGCCTCCCTTTTACCACCAGATGGTGCTAATGTCACAAAAACTGGTAATGAAATGCATTTCTAATTTTCAATGTGAATAAAAAAAATATTTCACTATGAAAACAATTTCTATGTATGGGGAAAATGTCCAACTCTATAAGAGCAAAATAAAAATGAAGTATCACTGACATGCATATGTATGGGGACCTAAAACATTGGTGCTTTTTAACCACTTCAAGACCAGGTGTTTAGACCCCCTTCCTGGCCAGGCCATTTTTCAGTGTTCAGCGTTGCGGTACTTTGATGGTTAAAAAGAATACCATCATTGCATATGAAAACAATTGGAATAATGGATTTTCTTATTGCATAACTATATGATCACCGGGTACTCTGGTTTCCTCCCACACTTCAATGACATGCTGGTAGGTTATTTAACTCCTCTCTAAATTGGCCCTGTGTGCATTGAGATTGGGACCTTAGATTGTAAGCTCGTTGAGGACAGGGACTGATGTCAATGCTGCGTTAATTGTCGGCGCTATAAAAATACCTGTAATAAATCAAATCAAATAAATGATCACATGACTGCTAGAGGTCATTAAGTGCAGACCAGTTAGCAAACCTGTGCTGAGAAAATGCATAGACTGTTTTAGGTGAACTTCCACTTAAAACTTCTCGGTGTCTGGTTGTTATTTTGAACCTGATGCAGGGGTAGGCAACGACGGCACTCCAGATGTTGTAGAACTACAAGTCCCTTGAGGCACTGCAAGACTCTGAAAGCCACAGGCAAGAGTGAGGTTGCCTATCCTTGTGCGAACGCTTTATGAGTGACTAACAAGGAACAAGTATAAAGATAAATTTCTGATGTTCCTCTGACTTACAAGGACAGTGACTTACAAGGTCAGGAAGGGAACTATCTTTTTCATAAAGAGGTCAGCAATGGTCGCCCCTGAAATTTAATTCACTATAGGTTTCCTTTAATTACTCTATTAGCACATTATTATTATTATTATTACCTTTATTATTATTATTTCTCTTCTGTCCATCCAATCCCCCAGTTAGTTGGGGTAGTCACTTCATTATCTCTTTTAAATACTTTTATTGGATGTATATGGGAGTAGAACATAATTTTGTTAAATTCATATTGTTAGGCAATTAAACAAAATAATCATTGTTGTATTGGTAGTTTTCTGCCTTGCTTCAAAATCCTTGTACAAGCTTTTGTATTATTAACTGTTTCCATTTCCCTTGGGAAATATTTAATTGTTTGTAGATAACATTTAGGAATGGTTTACAATGTGGTATGCTACAGGATAGCCTCAAGTGGTTACAGATAAACTAGCATAACACCAAAACAAACCGAATTCATTGACAGGCTTAGTTCATGCTGCTGTAACATATACAACACAGTTTAGCACCTCAGGTAATGAACAGTATTTGCAAAGTTTAGATTTCCACTCCCCTACCTTGCAGTATGTGAAGTGTGTTGGGCTAATGGTTTAATGCAACTTAAAAGCTCATGGGCAAAAAATCTGTGCTAAAGGAAGGTACATCTTAAGATGTCTTTCAGAGTTCCCCGGAGGTCCTAAAACCAAGGTAATCACTTAAGTAAATAGAGACATTAGCTCTGATATCAAGGCTTTGGCCCATACCCCACCACCACCCGCACATCACTATTGGCCAGTAATAACATGGACTTGGAGACCAATAATGCAGTGTGTGGGGTAGCAGGGGTCAGGTTTTTTTTAAATAAATTAGCACTCTGAGTTGTAGACCTCCTTAAAGCATTGTGGAAGATATTTGAAGATATTTGCAGGTTCATCATTATTTATTGCACCAGACCCTTAGCACTGATAGATCCTAATACAGTAATGGCAAGTTAGCATTGTTGGTTATGTGTATGGATGAAGCACTTGAGGAATGCAGAATTAAGTTTTACATCTGTGTATATACAGCATCATTCAGGAAACATATAGAATAGATCATAGATAAACATGCAAAAGCATAGAGACTGAATTTACACAACAGCGCCATCTAGTGCTCAAAATACATACTTACAGTACATTAGCATAAGCTGTTGTATTTCCAACAAGCATTAGCGTAATAACTTAAGGTTATTTGTCAAGGCCAAGTTTAGGTTTTAAGGGATTAAAAGATAAATTAGATATTAAAGTACAACTCTAAAGTTAAGGGTTCATTTTACAGGTTGGGTTTCATGTTAGTGACTCTGTAAAGAGAAACTATGATTTTGGGTCAATTTCATTTAAAATGTTTTTAAATTTATATTTTTACATTGAGATTTTATAAGCTGTTTACTATGTATATACAAGGGGGTATAAAATAGTAATGACCGTTGAGATATATAATGTATAAATATGCAGAGATAGAAACAATAAACATACATACAGTTAACTTATAAATTCCTCTACTCAGAGTTACCCTTCTACAGTACATAGTTCCCATTGCGTTCAATGTATTTGCACCATCATTTTACCCAGGCCTCAAATCCAGTTTAAAAATATTTTACAGAGCACTCTTTGCTCCACTGCTTCGGAGCTGTTTTAACTTTGTGCAAGTCTTCAGATCTCGTGCCATGGATGTAATCTTTCATTGGCCCAAACAGATAAAAGTCAGATTGTGCCAGATCTGGACTTTAGGGTGGATGAGGAACCAGTGGCCAGCCCATTTTGGCAATCACCTGACTAGTGGCATAAGAGGTGTGCGTGGATTATCATGATGCAGCTGTATGACATGGATGTCTTTCTGTGGCCTTTTTGCTTCCTGATGGCTTCCTTTCTTCCTTTTGAAGTGTACCAATGTAGGTTTTACTGTTGACTGATATGGCTTTATCCAAAAAGTCCATGGGAATGATGCCTTTGTCAAAGCAGAATAAGGTCTTCATGACATTTTGTGCTGATCTGACATATGGATATGAATTTCTTTGGATGAGGAGACCTGGAATTGTGCCATTTAATGCCTTGACAACAATTTCAGCTTCTCCCGGTCTAAACTTCTTTACCCAATACCTAACATTGCTCACATCAATTACTGCTACACCATATACATTCTTTAGGTGTGTATGGATTTTAAAAGCCAAATCATCCCTCTGTCATCATAAAATCAATTACTGCTCTCAGCCATTATTCACTTGGTACAATTTAAATTCAGAAGCACAGAATGATTGAGTTAGATCATAAGAATTATGTATATCAGGCATGTTATTATAGGTTTACAGATAGGAAACAACAGGCATTATGTTTAGATACCCCCTATACATATATAATCTTTGTTTTACAAATTAACATTTAACAGATTTCGTAATGCAGTATATGAGAGAGGACAGTAGAAGCAATTTCTTTTAAGACCCTCTGACTAAATGAAACTTTGCAGGTGTCATTTTAATAGGCAGCCAGGCAAAGGGGATGATGAACACTGCTTTAACTTATCTACCTGTATGTGTAAATTAGAGCTTGAACCCCATTAAACTTTGTTTAAATTAGCTAAATACAGCCTGAACAGAAAGGTCTGCAGAGTGTGGGGAAGCAGAGATCTCTTTGCAGTGTCCAACATGCCTTCTGCTGAGTCAGAACCAGAGCTCTCCAATCAGCAGGGGGCAAGAGCAGGGAAGGGGGCTTCTTCAGAGAGACCACTGCTTCCTTACAAAGAGCAAGGGTCCATTCTGCAACTGCTGGCAGGGAGCAGACTGTGGCTGCTTTAGCATGAAAAAAAAACTGCAAGACTTTAACCACCATTTTTGTTGTGATGCAGCTGAAATGTCTTTAGCAGGTTTAAATTGAAATTGCAATTGGACTTTAGGCGAAACAAGCCTTTTTTCACAAAGCTAATAAAAAAAGACCCTAGAGAAAATGTCAAAATGAACCTAAAATGCCACATGTTACCTGAAAATGACAAGGCAATAATTCATTTTTACCTTTCCAAAGATGTATTTTATGTTTTGTTCCTAACCATTATAATAAAAAAATGAACGAAAATGTATATTTTCATACACTTGAATCTACCTACAATCTGAGGTTTTATATAATCCCAAAATTTGCAATAATCTAAAAGATTCTCACATGTGGACTATAAATTCTTATTACATGATTTTTTGGTATTCAATGTCCCACTTATGCTTCAGGGTCTAAAGGAATTATTTTGTCTTAAATAAATCTGCATCTTTTCAGTAATGCCTATTATAACAGAATGCTACACAGTGTCTAAGCACTTTTGTAGCAGATGTGCAAAGAAAGAGGTCTTCTGAATGAGCTTGTCTATGTAGAATGTCTTAAAATACCTCTGGGCTATCTACCTACAGAATATTTTATGTCTTGTCTATTTACATTATATATACAATTAATAAATTCACATATGGGCATTGTTCTGTATAGGAAATTGAATCTTTGTTTTCAAGGACAAAGAAGGTACATTTGTGGTCAGGGACCTGAAAAGAATCATGTGGTAAAAAAAGAGCTGAATCCATGAAATATAATGTTGCAGAGCTTGTACTGAAAGGGCATTGCCTGACTGCTCTCATTTCTTATTTTTCAGCTCGATCATTACCCACCAGCCACATACAACCTTCCTGCTTCTTCTGAGACTCGGTTTAATAGGCCAAAGGCCCTTTTCCTTGGGAGAGTGTTGGGTAAGTGAAACTTTCAGCCATGAATTACAGCTAAGGCTGAACAATGTCATCTTCTTTATGACCGTGCTTTATAGCAGCATTGAAAAGACATCATTGTGGAATAATAACTGAAGTAAATATTACAGGGAAAACATGTTTGTCAGCAGTAGACACGTCTGTCCCATGTCACCTGTGACTGGATTCAATAAATCACTGTGTTCAGAAAGGTCATTGGGATCATGGTTGTTTGAGAGAAGCAAAATAGTTCAACAGCAAAATATATCAAAATATATCTCAACTCAAGAACAAAAATGTAATATATTGCAGCATACCAGTCCTTGGATGTTGTGGCTGCTTTATTCTTTTTTAGGTACATTTTCTGCAAGTACTGATAAATGCCTGTTGATCCTGCCAAAAATATTGTGATCTTGTAACTTCCTGTACACTGAACTCAAATGTTATCATTATCAGGTTTCCCCATATACTATCTGTATAATACTGAAGACTTCCCCTCTATGTAGTGAAGACGAGAAGGGGAAAGGTGTTTTTAGCCCTCCAAAGAAATAGTATAGTGAGTGAGCGTTGTCACCCTAGGACAGGAAGTGTGTTACTGGCAGGATCACCAGGTAAACATGTATGGGAAAAAAAGCCTGTAAGAAGAAATTGATTGCAACCACCACAAACAAGGTATATATATACCCCCCCCCCCCCAGCGTCTGTCAGCGTGTCTCTCCCCCCAGCATCTGTCAGCGTCTCTCTCCCGTCAGCGTCTCTCTCTCTCCTCCCCCGATACCCCCCAGCGTCGGTCAGTCAGTAGTACTAAGCCCCCTCCTTACCTTTACGTCCAGCAGCTGTGCTCCACTGCTGATGGGTTAAAGAAAGTTCAATGTAAAAAAAAAAACACCTTGCTCAGGAAGGTACCAAGTGCACAGGGGGGCCGCGACCTTAAAAACTACACTACACTGCAAATTATACATTAAACTGAAATAAAACAATCTAGCTTGGAGCCCAGCCTCCTCGGCCGCCTGGGCCTCTCACACAAGTACCGGCCATACCCCCCTGATGGCGGTCCTGGCCGGGGACTCGGAATGCGACCCCTCTGTTAACTTGCGGGACCCCACACGGGGTTGCAAACCACACTTTAAGAAGCACTGGCCTATATGACTACCACAGGTAGTCATATACACCATCAGTGTACTAAGTGCCAAGTGCCAGTTTGGAGAAGTAATGCTCACTAAAAAAGTAAATGATTAGCCTTTCATCTGGCCCTTATTATGTGTACTACCCCCCTTTCTTTATCTCTGACAGAATGTAATGCATAGTATATTGCACAGATGGTCCACAAGAACCTTGTAGCTACCATAGAACTAGGGATATTTGGTTTTAATTTCAGGAATGGGATCTAACTTTCTCACATTGCATTATTTGGCAGTCACCTAACAGCGTGTGTTAAGGATGTCTGTTGAGAGAGTCTGTTTAATTCTAGCTGCTCCTGGTGGCTGGCTTTTGTTGCTAAACTATATATATACTATAAATTTATCAAAACTGGAGCAGACAAATTCTGGAGCAGATCAACCAATCAGCTTTCTCTTTCATTTTCCGGTCTTAACTGAAAAAACTAAAGAGAGAAGCTGATTGGTTGCCATGCACAGCTGCTCCAGATTTTGTCTGCTCCAGTTTTGATCAATTCCCCTCAAAAACTCTTATAAAATATGCCAGATTTGCCATTCTGCCAATCAAGGCCTGAGCTTCCATAGTGGAAGTCAAACAAAAATCAACATCATTAAGAACACTATGACACTATGGCAATGTAGACATTAAATCCAGCACGATTTCCTACAATGCCTCTAAGGAACATTCTTGATGGACTTAGATCATGCAGACTATCACTGCTGTACCAATTAGGTGTTATACGTGTTTAAGATTAATATTTGTAATACAGGAAAGCAAAAATGTTCATTAAAAAACTGTACTTTTTATTTCATATTTCAAGTGTTATACATTTTACTATAGTTCAACATTTTATTGTGACCAATCCATTTTTTATTATCTAACAATGTACAATGTTGGTAAATAATGATCTGGCACTGATATTAATTATTATTCCCTAATAAATATAATGTCTGTAATAATTATTATTCAGGGTATGCATTCCACCCTCTCAGTCTGTCCTGCCATCACTCATTTCCCTACAGAACAGTACAATAGCAGATGATGGTGCCAGCATAGAACTCAGGGACTCTTGGATGTCCTTGAGCTCAGTGTTCTGAAGTCTATTGTAGTCAGTGCTGGCTTATCCTGCAAACCCGTCACCAACTAGGCTGTAAGAATAGAATTCACTGCAACTGCATTCATTGGGGAGATATAATAAAGGTTACGTAATAGTCATCTGAACGTCATATTTCTTTGCAACAGTAGTCACGACTTTCATATACACGTGAAGTTTAAGAGATGTTTTGAAATTATTTTGTTTATTCATGTCTGTATTATTTAAATAATATACATTCATTGTTGCTCAATCAATAATGCATAAATGACAAATAGAATTATCTTTTCCTTATGACCCTTTTAACCTTACACATGTTTTAGCATAGTATCTTCACTGTTTTCTGACATTGACAATTCTTTATAGATGTAATGTAATGGGCATCTAAATACAACAAACGGCCCTGTTCATTGAAATACCATTATAAGCTATTTATTTGTTCTGCTACAGTCACTGTAATGGAAAGGTTGGAGGAGCAAAAATACTTCTAGATACAGATTATTAGTCTAGTGCTATTGATATTCCTGGCAAGCATTCAAGCCATCTTAATAAGGCAAACGTACATTCCCAGTTATTAGCTCTTCTTGACCAGTTTACATACACTGTGCTATCTATTGAAACAGTAAAGGCTTTAGGCCTGGTTCACATCTGGGCGTTTTAAAGCGCGTTCCTACACGCTGTAAAACGCTCAACATGTGAAAACCAATGATTGCCTATGGGCATGGCTCCCACCTCGGCGTTTTACAGCGCGTAGGAACGCGCTGCAAAACGCCCTACGCCCAAAGAAGTACAGGAGCTTCTTTGGGGCGTTTTGCCGCGCGTTGCCATTGGTATTCCCGAGTGTGGATCGGGGTTAACAAAGCGGTAACCCAGAGCCACACTCGGGAATACAGCGTACAGGTCTTACCTTGTCCGCGATCCCCGCTGTGTCTTCAGCGGCTGCCGACTTCCAGGTTCCGTCCCTTGCGAGCAACCGTTCCACAGGGGGGCGGAGCTGGCGGGAAGTTTAAAAGTGAAACTAAAAAAAAAAATTTTAAATAGAGAAAATAAAGGAAAAAAACGCGGGTTTCACTGAACGAAAAAACGTGAGAAAAACTAGCATAAAAAACCCGCTCAGGTGTGAACCCATCCTTAACTTTGCTGCAGAGGATCCTGGCACAGAAGAGGTGAGTATGCTAACAAGGAGTAATGTTTACATTAGGGTGGGTTAGAGTTAGGGTGGGTTAGAGTTAGGGTGGGATTACAGTGAGTGTAAGGGGTCGTTCACGCCAGCCCCATTGGGCTGCATTGGGCAATTTGCCGTATGTTTTATTGTTTCAGTTCACACCAACACTCTGCGCTGGTATGCACTGAAAAAAGGACATGTTGCATGTTTTTACAAAGCACTTTCTGACATGTTGAAACATTGCAATCTACTGCCGTGCATAGAATTAAGTAGAAGTGGGAATAAAAAAGCACTGTAATGCACAACGCATACCAGCACACCTTAAGGCCCCGTTCACATATAGCGACATACCTTTTGCAGCGGAACCGCACGGCCGGGATAGCGCGACTTTCGGGGCGACGTTCCAGCGACGATCCAGCGACGGTAGCGCGACCTTCCCCGTCGGGCTCCATAGAAAAAAAGTAAAATCGCGCAAAATCCGCCGAAAAAAGGGTCCGGTAGAAGCGACTTGCGACCGCGACGAGCGACGCGCGACATGGAGTTAAGACAGCTCCATTGAATAACATTGGCCGGCGACTTCTCGCGATATCGCGCGGCAAAAATGCGCGATATCGCGGCGGAAATCGCGCGACAATTCGCTATATGTGAACGGGGCCTAATGTGCACCCTCTGGTGTGAATTAACTTTAGGTGTTAGAGTTGGGATTGTAAGGAGGGTTAGTATGAAGCCTTAGGATGGAGCATTGCTCTCTGTACTAGGAGTTCTTAGTAAAAAATGACCTGCTCTGATTTCCTGTTTAAACTCAATTTGAAGTGGAATTAAACCTAAAAGACCAAAACTGTGAGCAGGCAGAGGTGGGCACTTTATTACAGAAGGGACATGCCATGTCTCTTCTGTAATACACACATACACATACAAAAAACAAAAACGTACCTGCCTGTTTGCAATCATCTCCAGAATGTACGCTGAGCTGCGTACCTCTGTGTTATATTCCTGAGGCCATAGTGCAGGGGGGAGGAGGTTGGTGCAGCTGATAGTGCTTCTGGGTGGGGCTTTACTGATAGTGCTGTCCAGGGTCCCAGCGGTGGGACAGGCGGCTGTGTTAAAGCTGTGCTGTCAGCGGCTCTCTGCCCTGTCCTGCCTAGATCAGTGACATCACTGGTTGCAAGGAGCTCGGCAGGATGCCAGCCACAGCATCGCGCTCAGCTCCTGGCAACCGATGACATCAGTGAGCTGGGCGAGAAACCGGAAAAAGTGTCACAGGTTGCTAAGAGCTCTTAGTAACTTGGGACGCTCTGTTTGCCCCTGCCTGTGACGGCTTACAATCTAAAAGGGAGGAAGAAGTGATACATGAGGAGGTAGCTGTGAGGGGATGAATTGTTTGCGCTGTTGACATCTGTTACATATACAAGCGTTCGGCAGCTCTATACCCGTTCGATCGCTTGTATGGAACACAGTGGTAAGTGCCACCCTTGCAGAGCCGCCACCCCTTCACCGCCGGTAAAAAGGCTATCCCGGGCAACGCTGCCTTCTCTGCGGGCACGGCACCAGCTTGGTGGCTCTATGCATTAGGATCGAAAGGAGATGAGC